CCAGCACATCTCGACACGATGCGGGGGGGCTGGGTGCTGGGACTCTCTCTGTTTTCTTTAAGAACACGTTTGCAGACCCTCTAGGGCTCGTGCGCGCATCCCAAGTGAGCCCGCCCTACTTCCTGGAGTGAGAGGTTGTCCTTAATCTGACCTCTCACCTCTGTCCCGACCGCCTTAGGCCTGGCACTGCCTTCTTTTGCTTGGAACACGGCTGCTGCACCTCCCCTGGTGGAGCTCCCTGCGTCTTCTTTAGACTCCGTAAAGCATGTTCCTCATACAGAAGTCATGGTTTTTAAGGAAGTGAGATGCGGCAGCCACTTGAAATTTTATACTTGTGGTTTCTGTGAGACTTCTAATAAAGTTTAGCATCTTTGTCTGATCTAGAAGACTCTAGTGCCAAGCCCTGCTTTCCAACCTATTCTCTCTTTTCTGTACTCGCCACAACCCTCTCAGGGTTCTTGGAGCCCGGGACGCTAATGCCCCTTCCTGACTTGAGACATTGGCATTGTTCAGCACAGGTGTTAATTTAACCACATACCAACTTCCGAGTCCTTACCGGACCACCCTAGATAACTGAAATTATGACTGATAACGACCTGAAATTGCATTATTTGTGTTTACTTGTTTATGGCCTTATCCCCCTTCTGGAGTATAAACTCTGTGAAGGCTGGTGTACATGAGGCACCTGCAGAAAGCAAGCTCTGGTCCGTTATTCTGGAGGTCTTCAGTAATCGTGGAGTGGCCGAGTGTGTGGATAATGAACAGGAACCTCTTCTACCCTCGTGGAAAAGTGTCTCCGGCATAACGATGCAGAGATTCTTGTCTACTGCATTGACATGCAGTGGACCTTTTAAAGTCGCTTTGCTGAGGGTACCAGAACACCTTGTTTCTCTTAATGGACAGGCTTGTGGATGTGGGAAAGTGCTTGCACTCCTTTCTAGGACAAGAACGCCCTAGAAAGTGCGCAAAAGGGCTGCCAAGTATAAACGTCATCTTCACAGTTGGTCGGTGCTTGCCATTACTCCCAAGAACCCAAAGTGTGTGTGTTTGAAAATATCTGGCACCTCATTTTACTGAGGTAGTGCCTTTTCAGGGTCCATTGATACCCAGGAAGCACTGTCAGTCCCAAACTCGAGGTGCTATTATTAGCCGAGGAAACCTGTTCAGTCCAGGACCCCCCTGAGATTTCAGGCATACACAGCCAACTTTAGTACCAAGAGAGCTCAGTTGCAGAAGTCAGTGATATCTGTGGAATTACATTGCAGCTCCTGAAAAGGCGTATTCGTCTCTCAGCGTACTTGCTAGGACTAGATCTTATATTTTTCATGGTCACACTCAGAGCAAGCATGGGCAGCATCGTTTGGTTAAACTGGCTTTTTCTTTATTCTCCAGGCCAGAAAGTTATGCATGGCACACGGAGGATATGAGTTTGTTTATAGGTTCTGTTGAGAAGGTGGGTTAAAAGTGTGTGTGTATGTGTGGTGTGTTACATCTTTCCTTTGTCTTGGAAAAGTGTGATGTTACCTCTTAATATTTTCCTACTACTCTGAAGCTTAGGGAAACTCTTTAATAATCTAGGAGGTCAATGTCTGTCACTCACAAAGTTCCTTTTCTCCTCGTAGTGCATCCCATGTGATTGCCTCCTTAGTGGAAGATTATCCCAACTACATGGTCATAAATCTAGACAAGGTAAGTATTATAAAACAATGAGCTTCATGTACTGGAATTAGACCTCCTTTGGCCGCATCATTGAAAAGTCCCAGGGAACTGTTAAGGAGTAGTGCCAGAGAACTGAGGAGTGCTAAGTGGTAAGGTGGTCTCCTCCTCTCCTGGTTTTTATTTAGTTTTTAATTTATTCAGCTCCTCGGGGGCTGTCATGTGTTCATGCTGTGTTTAATCGTAGGTCAAACTTTTAAAATTATTTTGCTAGCCTATAAACCCAAGGTTCTCAGTTCAGCATTTTTAGCAAAAGAAATGCTTTACCCTTCTTAAAATTCAATATATACTGTAATTTTGTGATTACTATTTTGGCTTTTTAAAATTGGCTGTTTGGTTTTATAGTTGCCACCTCCCAGAAACATCTGTGTGTGTCTGTCTATTCATATGTGTGTGTGTACACGTACATAACATGATATATTTTATAAAGTATATATATTTTAACACTAGGATATAATTAAAACCAGTTGCAGTGGCACTTGCCTATTCTCTGAGCAGTAGGGAGGTAGGGGCTGAAGAACTAAAACTTCAGGGTCATCCTTGAATTACATAGCAAGTTCCAGGCCAGCCTAGGAACACATGAGATCCCATCTACAAGCAACAAATAAACAAACAAAAGGCGGTGAAATTAATTTAGTTTTGACAGCTTTATACTCATGGTTGAAGTCTCCCTGAAGAATATGATTTTTTTTTTTTTTAGTTTAAGCAAAACATGCAAATGTCTTTTTTTCATAAAACCCAATGGTAAGATGTACAGGGAGATAACAACCATTAACTGTTGGCATATTTTTTTCTGTCCTAATGTTATAAACAGGTGGTGGAAAGAATTCTTTTTCATACCATTTTATTTATTTGGAGGCAGGGGCATACATGAACTACAGCCTGCATGTAGAGAGGCCATAAGACCCCTTGTGGGTGTGAGTTCTTTCCTTCACTGTGTGGCTCCCAGGACCAGGCTTGGTGGCAAGTGTCTTCACCCACAAAGCCGTCCGGCCTGCTCTAAAGGAAGGGCTCAGGCTGCCCTCAAACTTCTGACTCTCCCACACTGCTCCTGCAGCACATCCTCCTAGTGTGTGATACCACAACCAGCAGAGCGGATCCCTGTGGGTTCAAGGCCAGCCTGGTCTATGTAGGGAGTTCCAGGACAGCCAGGGGTACACAGTTAAGCACTGTCTCAAAATACATAAATGAAAATACAAAATAATAATAATAAATTATGAGTAGGTGTGTGTGTGTGTGTGTCTACAGATGGGTATGTGCACATGAGTTCAGTGGCCCTCAACGCCCAGAGGTTTTGGATCAGAACAGGAGTTACAGACAGTTGTGTGCCGCCAGGTGTAGGTGGTCGGAACCAAACCCAGGTCCTCTGTAATAACCACTGGTGCTCTTAACCTCGGAGCTATCTCTCCAGCCCTAACTAGATATGCACTGACGTCCATGTTAGAGGAGGTGTGATGAGTTATATACGTATGAAGCAGGTGTTTTTAAATCTTCAGTCGCCAGTTCCTTTTCTGTCAAGAACTAAACAGTTTTAGTTTTTAGCCACCAGTGATGAGGGAGCTTGAGCAGGAACAGTTTTAAAGAGAGATTTGTAACAGCATTTCTCTTGGTTTATTCCTTTGAAAATTAACAATGACCTGCTTTTACTCTGAGGATGCCGGAGGCTTTAAAAGTGTAAAATGCAGGAAGCATTTTTAGAAGATGTGTTCTTGTATCAGGGTTTAGCATATGTGACCCTCAAACTAAATTGACTTGTCATCGGAGGAGCTGATCTTTGTGTGTTGTTTCCTCCCCAAAACATTCTCTTCATCAAGCTGGATTACTGTGCAAGCTTGAAGAATCTTGAACCCGTTTCTAACAAGCAGAACTACAAATTTATACAGGTATGGAAGCTTGGCTGACAGTGCCTCTTTAGTCATCAGAAATCATAAACTTTTTTATGTTGCAAACATGTTAAGGACCAGATATTTCCCAGAATAGTACATGCTGTAGAGAGTTCTGCTTTTAGATTATCACATAAAAGCTGCATAGACTAGGCGTTTTGTTAACTTGGCAAATGTATGATAGTTGACATAATATGTGAATTAAACATACATGCTACACTTGTTTTAAATGTATTTTAGTATAACTCTCTAAAAGATTTCTTTTTTTTCTTTTTCTTTTTTTTTTTTTTTTTTTTTTTTTTTTTCAAGACAGGCTTTCTCTGTGTAGCTTTGCAGCCTATCCTGGCATTCACTCTGTAGACCAGGCTGGCCTCAAACTCACAGAGTTCCTCCTGCTTCTGCCTCCTGAGTGCTGGGATTAAAGGCGTGCGCCACCAATACCCAGCAAAGATTTATTTTTCTTAATGCTAAAAAAAATTCCTGATATCTTAACTTTGCAAATATGTGATAGACAGCAGTACAAAATTTAGAAGAAGTTGGTGCTCAGCAAAAATATTGCTTGAAACATTTGCAAAAATATTCTGAATTAAATGCACATGTTCTAAGATGTTGAAGAGCCACATTGCATTTTACTTGGCTGGCTGCTTGACTGACTTCAAGACATTTTCTGTTGAACTCGGGCGGGGGGGGGGGGTAGAAATGGAGGGGTGGTAAAGTAAAACCGGTTATTACGAATGCAAGCACTCAAGAAACCCCACCCGTCCATTTGCCGTTCCATGCAGGGCGACATTTGTGACTCCCACTTTGTGAAGCTGCTGTTTGAAATGGAGAAAATAGACATAGTACTCCATTTTGCTGCCCAGACACATGTAGGTAAGCACTGTTTTACGCTATAGCTATGACTGGCCTCTTCTTTCCCTCGTGAAGAAATCCAAAGTCCAGGAATAAGGATGAGAAGTAGTGATCTCTTGTATGTTCCTGGCTAGCTGAACCATTATGTTATCATGTTTCATGTGTGTGTGTGAGTGTGTGTGTGTGTGTGTGTGTGTGTGTGTGTGTGTGTGTGTGTGTGTGTGCAGGTAGGTGTTCTGCATGAGGGCACATGCAGAAGCCAGAGGAGGACATCAAGTGTCTTCCCATGGTGGACTCTGCCTTACTCCTGAGGCAGAGCCTCTTTCTGAGCCTGGAACCCACTATCTGGACTCACTGGGCAGCCAGCCAGCTCCTGGGATCTGCGTCTCCACTCCCCAGCTCGGGACTGCAGACATGCCCAGTGTGTGGGTGTGGGGTCTGAACTCGGGTCCCTTCACTTGAACAGGAAGCACTCGTACCCACTGAGCCATCGCCCCAGTTCTGAAGTGGTCTTGCTTGGTGGTATGGATTGCCTTGAAAGCCTGTTAGTTGGCATGGGTGTGGCCGTGTCGTCTCAGGATGTCTTCCTATAATTTATCTCCGGCACTTGTCTGCCTTCGTGATTTAGCTTGTGCATGCTGGGCAGGCTCCTCAGCCTACATCTCACTTCTTCTGAAAAATCTGTGTGGCCATCCATATTTCCCTGTTTGCTATCTCTTAAAGACTCAGCTGTGGAATTGTTTTCTTTTCCTTTCCCACTGCTCATTTGGAAAGAACAGTCTGTGTAGTCACCTTACATAATGTAATCAGCTTTCAGAGTGTAAAGTCCGGAAACCTCTGCCCTCTGCCCAGATCACGCCCTCTAGCTTTGTTTATGCCCAGCCTTGTTTTCAGATAGGCTTTCAAGTCTGTTGTGTTTAATTTTTTTTTTTTTCAGGCACACATCACTGTTTTGCGCAGTCAAGATTTGGGTGCGTTTGAGCTTTGGCAATGATGATTTTCTCATTGTCCTTTTTTCCCCATTCATATGTTAAATCGGAATTTAAGGGCAGGTTCTTTGTATCAGTTCTTGAGATTCAGCTGATGGTGGCAGCCCCCTTAGCTGCCTTATTCTTTTTACCTGTGCAGAGTTCTGTGGTAATGACTTGGTTACTTCTTTTTCTGTATAGTATCATTACGGATTCATGGATTTTAACGTGACTTTCATTTCTTGCTTGCTTTAGTCAGTTGTGGTGTGTTGTCAGCATTCAGCCTTCCAGTAGCCACTGGAAGCCACTTCTGGTTCCTTCTTGAGTCCTCTTTGGCATAACCTCGTAGCCCTTGGCACTGTCCTCACCTGGTGAAACAGATGGTCCGTGCTTAGCTTTGGGGTTTCCCAGCATGCTCTGCTTTTCCACGGCCTCACACGACCTCTCTGTGTTCCTGCCCTCGAATCCGTTTTGGGTCCAGATTTTATTCTTGTAAAGCCACACATCTGGATTAGTGTTCACCTTCAGGGGTTCATTTTGACTGAATCGCCTCTGGAAAACCTATCTCCAGGCGTAATCACACTCCATTGTACGGTGGGAGTAGGCATCAGCATAGATTTTAGGGGGAAAGTCAGCTCATAGGTCGGGATTAAGGGATAGGTGCAAATCAGTTTGGCTACACATCTCCAGATTTCCTCCCTCTGGGTTTGAGTACATCGTTTAGACCAGCGGTTCTTAGCCTGCGGGTTGTGAACCCTTCATGTGTCAGGTGACCCTTTCACAGGGGTCACAGATCAGATACCCCCCCACCCCCCGCATAGCAGATATTTACATAATGATTCATAACAGTAGCAAAATTACAGTTATGAAGTAGCAGGGAAAATAATTTTGTGATTGGGGGGTCACCACACCGACACCGTGAGGACTTAGACTAAAGGGTCACAGCGTTGGGAGGGTGGAGAACACTGCTGTAGACTCACTCACCCCTAGTGTGCAGAAGGGTGTTTCTCCGTCCGCTTAGCCTCACCTACAAAATGCCCTTTGTAATGTTGTAAGTGTATGCTCCCGTGTGTATGCATGTGTACTGGGGCCTCCCTTGTCCTCATGGACTGGTGGCCTTGAGGACAAAGGGAGTAGAGGTGGCATGCAGGGCTTTGTACAGCCTGTGAGTACAATGGAAATGCCTTTCCTAAGTCAGCCCCAGTGAGACAGCTCAACTTTATTTCAGGATCGGGGAACACAGGATGGGGACAGCAGCTGGGGCATCTCCTAATTTGAGTTTGGCAGCATGGTTCTACTATACAGCTAGGACACAACACCAAGTTACCATATGGGAGGCAGGGGGAGAGCGTTTGCAAGGAACCGTGTCAGAGTCACATTTTAGATAAGGTCAGGCACCCAAGCTCGGGGGCAGCTTTAGATAAGATCACACATCCGGGTCTAGAGACACTGTCCAGATGGGGTAGAGAGGGAGCCCTGCTGCAGAGGAGCCTCCATCTCACCGGAGCTCAGCGCTGTCGGGACGCGGTTAACTGCGCCTTAGGCAGCTGGTCTTCCAGCCGCGTACCACATGTGTGCAGGAGCCTGTGGAAGTCACAACAGGCACCAGAGCCCCTAGAACTGGAGGTCACATGGTTTTTAGCTGCCATGTGGGTGCTGGGAATCCAACCACAAGCGTTCTTGGCCACCCAGCCATCTATAGCCACTCTTGTCAATTTTTTTTTTATTTTTTGCTTGTCTAATAAATAAAAGATTTAAATTTGAATTTTCTTCATATAAGTGAAGTTGAACACCATAAAGTCCATCATTTATTTAAACTGCTGTTCATATATATATATATACACTTTTCCCCCTTAGAGACCATATATATATATATATACGCTTTTCCCCCCTTAGAGACCATATATATATATATATACGCTTTTCCCCCCTTAGAGACCATATATATATATATATACGCTTTTCCCCCCTTAGAGACCATATATATATATATATACGCTTTTCCCCCCTTAGAGACCATATATATATATATATACGCTTTTCCCCCCTTAGAGACCATATATATATATATATACGCTTTTCCCCCCTTAGAGACCATATATATATATATATACGCTTTTCCCCCCTTAGAGACCATATATATATATATATACGCTTTTCCCCCCTTAGAGACCATATATATATATATATACGCTTTTCCCCCCTTAGAGACCATATATATATATATATACGCTTTTCCCCCCTTAGAGACCATATATATATATATATACGCTTTTCCCCCCTTAGAGACCATATATATATATATATACGCTTTTCCCCCCTTAGAGACCATATATATATATATATACGCTTTTCCCCCCTTAGAGACCATATATATATATATATACGCTTTTCCCCCCTTAGAGACCATATATATATATATATACGCTTTTCCCCCCTTAGAGACCATATATATATATATATACGCTTTTCCCCCCTTAGAGACCATATATATATATATATACGCTTTTCCCCCCTTAGAGACCATATATATATATATATACGCTTTTCCCCCCTTAGAGACCATATATATATATATATACGCTTTTCCCCCCTTAGAGACCATATATATATATATATACGCTTTTCCCCCCTTAGAGACCATATATATATATATATACGCTTTTCCCCCCTTAGAGACCATATATATATATATATACGCTTTTCCCCCCTTAGAGACCATATATATATATATATACGCTTTTCCCCCCTTAGAGACCATATATATATATATATACGCTTTTCCCCCCTTAGAGACCATATATATATATATATACGCTTTTCCCCCCTTAGAGACCATATATATATATATATACGCTTTTCCCCCCTTAGAGACCATATATATATATATATACGCTTTTCCCCCCTTAGAGACCATATATATATATATATACGCTTTTCCCCCCTTAGAGACCATATATATATATATATACGCTTTTCCCCCCTTAGAGACCATATATATATATATATACGCTTTTCCCCCCTTAGAGACCATATATATATATATATACGCTTTTCCCCCCTTAGAGACCATATATATATATATATACGCTTTTCCCCCCTTAGAGACCATATATATATATATATACGCTTTTCCCCCCTTAGAGACCATATATATATATATATACGCTTTTCCCCCCTTAGAGACCATATATATATATATATACGCTTTTCCCCCCTTAGAGACCATATATATATATATATACGCTTTTCCCCCCTTAGAGACCATATATATATATATATACGCTTTTCCCCCCTTAGAGACCATATATATATATATATACGCTTTTCCCCCCTTAGAGACCATATATATATATATATACGCTTTTCCCCCCTTAGAGACCATATATATATATATATACACTTTTCCCCCCTTAGAGACCATATATATATATACACACTTTTTCCCCCTTAGAGACCATATATATATATATATACACTTTTCCCCCCTTAGAGACCATATATATATATACACTTTTTCCCCTCTCGAGACAGGGTTTCTCTGTGTGGCTTTGGAGCCTATCCTGGCAGTCACTCTGGAGACCAGGCTGGCCTTGAACTCACAGAGATCCACCTGCCTCTGCCTCCCGAGTACTGGGATTAAAGGCGTGCGCCACCAACGCCCGGCTTTATAAATTATTTTATAAATTGTTGATATGGACTGTTTATCTCCATTAAGTTCAGGTAGTTTTTCCTACCTTGTCCATTTTTTTTTGTTGTTGTTGTTTCTGGTTTAGGTTTTTTGTTTTGTTTTCAGCTTCTCCCCACCACTGTACTGGTTTCACTGGGGACTAGCATCACACACACTAGGCAAGCACTCTTGTACCTATTTATTAGCCCGGCCTGCCCACATGTCCTGTTGTGTTTGCCAGTGGGGCCTGTGAAGAAAGGTACTTAGACTGTTTTGATAGAGGGTGAAGAGAGGAGCTGGTGACTGAGGGGCGTTGCTCTGCCGGTTGTCTGTCCTGACGGATAGATGAGGTCAGATAGTCATCTCTCCTCATAGGCATGTCTCTTCCCAAGCTGCATCTGATTTTAATCAAGGGAACCCAATTATGCATCGGTGTCTTAGGTAGGGTTTTTAGTGTTGTGATGAGACACCATGACAACTCATGTAAATGAAAACATTTAATTGGGGTGGCTCGCTGACAGTTTCAGATGTTCAGTCCATTGTCATGATGAAGGCAGCAGCATTGGAGCCAAGTGCAGGCAGACTAGGTGCTGGAGCTCAAAGACCTACATCTTGTTGGCAACAGGAAGTCAACTGAGACACTAGGCGGAACCATGAGCATAGGAAACCCCAAAGCCTGTCCCCACGGTGACACAGTTGTCTAACAAGTCCATCCCCACGTCAGCAAAGCTACACCTCCAACAGTGCCACTCCTTAGGAGATTATGGTGGCCAAATACATTCAAACTACCACAGCAGATATAGATAGTAAATAGACAGTTGACCCTAAAGGTTCACTAGGAGGGTGCGCTTTGCCTTACTATACATGCACCACAAACCAGTTCAGGCCGGAATGGCCTTTCTGTCTTGTACTCAGATACAGGAATGTCTGTATTTGGTTAATTTTACGGGTAGAGAAACTTGTGCTACAGTTTAGGGAGGGTGCACATGTAGTCAGAAGCTGTGCAGCCCAGTGCGGTAGGAGTCGGAGGGGGGTTGCCAGGTGTCAAGTGCAGGATTAAAAGAGGAGGGGGCCATGTGACCAAAATTAAATAAGGCCCCAGGCTGCTTATCTGCTCTTTATCTTTACCTCTCTTTTCAGCACTTGGGAGTGAGAGACGGGAAGATCACAAGTTCAAGATTAGGTCAGTGAGATGGCTCAGTGGTAAAGGCTCTTCCTGTGCAAGCCTGATAACCTGAATCTGATCCCCAGAGTCCACGTGGTGGAAGGAGAGGATGGCTCCACCCTTAAAGTGGCACACACACACACGCACACACACACACACACACACACACATACACGCACGCACGCACGCACGCACACACGCACGCACGGGCTCGTGCACGCATGCACTCACACATAGTAATTAATTAAAAATAGAAGTTCAGTGTCATGCCTAGCTACACAGTAAGTTCGAGGCCGGCTTGGAGCACATGAAGCCAAACATGAGTCAACTGCACTGAGTTATTTCTTAACCCTGTTGCAGTTGTGTGAGGAATGGAAAGTAAGCATTCTTAGCCCTGCGTCAGGCTTTTGGTATTTGTTTTGTTCCATGAACAGAATCATTGTAGCTTCTCTTGTCCTTTTTAGATCTCTCGTTTGTCCGTGCCTTTGAGTTCACATATGTCAATGTTTATGGCACTCATGTGTTGGTAAATACTGCTTATGAAGCCAGAGTGGAGAAATTTATCTACGTCAGCACAGATGAAGTGTATGGAGGCAGTGTCGATCAGGTAAGCTTAGAAAATGGATTGCACCTACAGTGTGCCTGCATAGAGTCTGTCTCACTGAAGTTCACCTGGCTTTTCTATCTGCTTACAGTGTGCCCGTATAGAGTTGAACCATTCTTCAGTCCACAGTTTCCTTTCCGTGGTCCTTTCTTTTAAAGACATGCTCTTTTGGGAGTCAGTAACAGGCTAGGGTCTAGATCAGTGTAGATGGGAAATCAGTAACAAACTAGGGTCTGGCTCCATGTTGAGTACTTTCTCAGTGTGTGTGAAGTCCTGTGCTTGATCCTAGCCAGGATATGAAAACAAAAACCTCAGAATAAACAAATACCTATACTGCAGGGCTGAGATGGCTCAGTGATTAAGAGCATCACTACTCTTCCACAGGACATGGGTTCAGTTCCCAGCACCCACATGGCAGCTTACAACTGTCTATAACTTCAGGTCTAGGGAACCTGACACCTTTACACAGACATATATGTAGGCAAAATACCAATGCATACAAAATAAAGATAAATTTTAAAAAGTATCTGTACTGCTACGTACAATGGCCCTGAAATTAAGAGGGTACCAGAGAGAAGCCTCAGAATAAATCTATGTGCATGTAACAGGTACTGGATGCTTACTTCTAAAAGTTATTAATGGTTAAGGTAATCTCTACACAGTTAACCCTTTATTGCAGTTGTGGGATCTTGTACAGACTGAAAGAATAATACGAGTCAAAAGTTAAATGAGGTAGAGAAGGGTATGCTTTCTCATATTTCTGAAGTTTTAGTCTTCAGATCACTACTGTGGTTGGCATATAAGCACCCAACTGTTACCCGGTAAAACTGTAGATTTCCCTATATAAGTATATGTTTGTGAGAATTAAAATGTGTTTTGGTGTGTGTTGTTTTTGGAAAGGGTTCCCAGCACTTCCCATGTGTGGACATTTGGTGTGGTATTAGCCAGCAGCTGGTTTCTGCTCTCTGTTTTTGTTTGTTTTGTTTTTCAAGACTGGGTTTCTCTGTGGCTTTGGAGGCTGTCCTGGAACTCGCTCTTGTAGTCCAGGCTGGTCTCGAACTCACAGAGATCCACCTGCCTCTGCTTCCCGAGTGCTGGGATTAAAGGCATGCGCCACCACCGCCATCGGTTTCTGCTCTCTGGAGGATCTTCAGAACTGTGTTCTGAGAGAAAGCACTCAACAGTGTCTGCGTGGTGCATAGAAAAGACCCTGACCTCCCAATCCCAAATCCATGCAACTGTCGCTCCACCACGAGCATTAGTGATTTATTGACTGCACAAAACAAGGGCTGATACACAAGCTTCATTCCCACCTATCATTTTGCCTGGTACCAGTTTTCTTTTTAGCTCTATCATGTAGGCTATTCTGACAGTCATCTTTATAACTAAATAATTACATGATTTTGTTTCAGTGGTGAGTTCTGGAATGTTACAACAGTAACTGCCAACAGCTATACCAAGATTTCCTAAGATGGTGCTTATTCACCCAAGGTGGTTGTAAAGAAATTTTAACCAGGCCTGGTGGCACCGGTCCATCATCTGAGCTCAGAAGGAGCCCAAGTTAAAAGCTGCCCTGGGTAACTTAGTGACACTTTACCTCAAATTAATGAATGCAAGGCTGAAAAGATGTCTTTATTGCTGGTACAGAGGACCCTACCTTGGCTCCTAGCATCCATGGGGTTACTTATAATCATGTGTAACTCCAGTTCCCAGAGAGCTGTGATTTCCATGGGTTCCTGCGTATATGTGCTGCACATAATCTCACACACACACACACACACACATACATACAAAAATAATACAAATCTTTAAGAGTATTTTAAATGGTTGCCAGCATAGATGTGATATAATATGCCCTCCCACCCACTCAGTAACTTCATTTTCTGTCTCCTCTCCCCGACACACACACACACACACACACACACACACACACACACACACACTCACTATTTAAGACCCTCTTTCCTCCTGGTGTTGGTGGCGCACGCCTTTAATCCCAGCACTCGGGAGGCAGAGGCAGGCAGATCTCTGTGAGTTCGAGGCCAGCCTGGTCTCCAGAGCGAGTGCCAGGATAGGCTCCAAAGCTACACAGAGAGACCCTGTCTACAAAAACCAAAAAAGAAAAAAAAGAAAAACCCTCTTTCCTTGGCTGGAATTCAAGAGGTTCTTGTGTTGGTTTGGTTTCTGTTTGTCTTTTTTGAGACAGGGTTCCAATTCCATTCCTCCACCTCCCAAATGCTGGGATCACGGGTGTGTACCACCAGAGCAAGAAATGGTTTCTTAGATGTAGTGATTGACATTTCAAACTAGTAGTATGGTTGGTTTGTTTGATTGTGTGTGCGTGTGTGTGTGTGTGTGTGTGTGCGTGCGTGTGTGTGTGTCCAGAAGAGGGTGTCAGATCCCCTGGAATTGAAGCTACAGATGTCTTTGATCATGTATGTGTGTGCTGGGACTGAACCCAGGTCCTCTTGAATTTGACACAGACTACTGTTAAATCATGCACTTAGACCTTGCAATATGTTTTCTACTTAGAGAGTATGTATAATTCCTTTTAAAACTAGGAGTTTGATGAATCATCACCCAAACAACCTACAAACCCATATGCTTCATCTAAAGCAGCTGCTGAGTGTTTTGTACAGTCTTACTGGGAGCGATACAAGGTAAAAGCTGATTTCTGTGACTCTTTGTTAATATTTATTTATTTATTTATTTGTTTATTTATTGTGCATGTGAGTGAATGTATGTATTGTGTTCTATAATGAGTGTGGTGGTCAGAGGACAACTTATGGAAGCCACTGTCTTCCTTCCACCATGTGCGTTCAGGCGTTGAGCTAGGTCATCAGACTTGGTAGCAAGTACTCTCTTACCATCTCACCAGGCCTGAAACTCGAGCCATTTACTGTGGACTTAAGTTTTAACATTCTAAGTCAGCTCTGGTATAGAAGACTTGGTTTAAAGACTTAGGCAGTAGGGCTTATAAGTATTGAAACCTTACATTACATGAACCTCGTGTTCAGTTCCTCTTCAAAGCACAAACCTGAAACAAGTTCGTTCCTATTGCACTATTAGAACATTACAGGTCTAGAGAGAAGCTCCATGGAAATCCTGCAGGTGGAGGGATGACAGGTTCCTTTCCCAGAAGTTGCTTGTCTCTGTGTGATTCAGCAGCCTTGACTCCTCCGTGTGAGGTAGACTTGAAGGCTTACGTCGGTGGCTCTGACAGTGACAGAACAAGTTTTAGCAGCTCCAATGCCACATATTTGGCTTCCAGTGGCCTTATTGGTTCTTAGGAGCTGAGTCAGAAACGCAAGCTCAGAAGTTCCTTGGTGTCCCCTTGCTTTTTGTGGTGATCTTTTTACTCGTAGGGTTGATCCAGTGGGGAGAGTCGAGTTGCTGTCTACCCTCTTACCGTCTCATTGGCTGTGGACTGCTGGAGCCATCTGGGAAATGATCATGTGGAAGGCCTCAGTGTTTAACCTGACTCTGTGCCTCTCTCTATATCCATCTTCCCATTGTCTCCACACGAGAAGGATCCTGTTCTTCCTATTGGACTGTAGATTTTATCTGAGCCCTGTCCTCTCCTGTCTTTTTTTTTTTTTTTTTTTTAAATATGATCTTATTTTGTGGCCCTGGATGGCCTAGAGTTTACCATGTAAACCAGGCTGACCTCAAATTCAGAGATCCCCCTGCCTCTGCCTCCTGACTTCTCATATTAAAGCATACACCACCAGGACTGACTTAAAAAAAAAAAACAAAAACAAAAACTTGGGTCCCACTGCATAGCTCAGGCTGGTCTTAGACTAGAAATCCTCCTGTGTTAGCCTCACGAGCGTCAGGATTACAGGTGTGAGCCTGTCTTTATAAAACTTCTCAGACAGGCTCCTCACTGTGTGCTGACAGTGTGTCAGTTAGGACTGATTGTTGGGTCCTTCCCTCCCACTAATGTTGAGTGTCCGCTCTAAGTTTCCAGTTGTCATCACCAGAAGCAGTAATGTTTATGGACCACACCAGTATCCCGAAAAGGTAAACTTCATTTCTAAATTCTTAGTGAGTGGCTTCCTCTAAAATAACCCCAGCAGTTATTTGTCTGAAGTAGCTAAGTTCTCTGTGGGGATTGCCCAAGAGTTCATCAGACTCAGTCTGAAGATTTCACCCTGAGTTTCCGCTTGACGCATTCCAGCTGCCGTGCCTTTGGGTCCTCTGACCGTTGTCTTTGAGTTGGGGGGTATAATGAAATGACGGCATTTAGGATGTGCACGGGCATGCATTGTCTTCCTTGCACGCTAAAGCACTCCCAGCATTGCCCGCTGCAGCGCGGAAGACTGGTCTGCAGTTGTGTCGGGGTGTACAGAAGTTAAAAGCTAGTCAGGGAGATGTGGAGAGCTTGGACTGACTGAGTGGGTGCTTTGGGTGCTTATATGTAAGTGATAAGTTGTATGTGGTGCCTGCCTTCATGTAAGAACTCTCCAGAGAGGCGGCGTGCGTGTGTTGGCTGCAAACTGTCCATGGCGGTTCCTCTGACTTCCACTGTACCTATCTTTTCATCATCGGGTTTTTATGAAATCACAGACTACCTTAGCGTTCTCTTATTTTCCAAATGTCATGAATTTAGTTTAAAAGAATCAGACTGTTTCTACACATATATATTTTAGTAACCATTTTTAATCTTAGGATTATCAATGTCATTTTCCAAGTCTGAAATGACATTTAAATATTCTTCTAGGTTATTCCAAAATTTATATCTTTGCTCCAACACGACAGGAAATGGTACGTTGCTTTTTATTTTTGCACTCATATGCTCTCGGCTATGTCAGTAGTATTCAGTAGCAATCTTTGAAAGCCATAAAATGTTAAAGAGACCATGGAGTTGAGCATCCTGCCATGTAGGAATGCTTTCTTCATTTAATGTGATCGTTTTTCAATAACTAAACTTCATCTTCATAATTTGCTAAGGTAAATTCTGAAATTATCTACCATGGAACTTAGAGTTGCAAAACAAAATTTTGACATCTATATATAATTTTATATTTCCAAACGGTTAATTTAATATAGAGATGTGGATTTTCATTTTAATTTTCCCATGACTTTTAGGTTCTAGGGCTTGGAAACGGGCCTTGCTGGTTCTAGGCTGTAGCCCCGGTTGCATCCCCAGCCCTGTGATTTCATTATTGTTGATTTTTTTTTTCCTTTTTGAAATTGCTCAGGCCAATCTTGAACATGGAATCCTCTTGATTCAGTTCCCCAAGTGGCCACAGTTACAGTTCTGTATAACCCCAGCAACTTAGGTGTTTCTTCAAAATGACTTTTTGGTATAAAATTAACAGATGTGTTTTAGGGAGGCATGTTTTCCACTTTTTAAATTAAGGATTCTCAAGAAGTTTGGGCATCTTTTAAGAAATGAGGAAGAAATTTTAAGGGAACTGTTTTTTTTTTTCCATCACAGATTTCTAGGGCCTCTGGAAATTGGCTTCTCAGGAGTCACACTGGCCCCTGCTTATGCCTGGCTTGTGAGTGTGTTTTCTGTACTTTATAATTCTGCTTTATTTTATCCGTTCAGCTGTATTCATGGATCAGGGCTTCAAAGAAGAAACTTCCTTTACGCTGCTGACGTGGTGGAAGCATTCCTCACTGTCCTCCAAAAGGGAGAGCCAGGGGAGATTTATAACATTGGGACCAGCTTTGAAATGTCGGTTGTCCAGCTTGCGAAGGAGCTAATACAGCTGGTACGTACGTGTCTGCTCTAAGGGTCTTTATGAAGTCGTCACCAAGTCGGTGTCAATAATGAAGAATTTAGTCACCATGTGTATTAGCTACTCTGCTGCTGCTGTGATGTAACACCATGACCACAAAGCGTGCTAAGGAAAAAGAGTTAATTTCGGCTTAGAGTTCTTGAGGGCCAGTGTCCATAATGGTGCAAGTGGGGGGCCAGTGACGGGGCTTGGCGGCTAGAGCAGGCAGTGGGGTGAGGCTGGCACACCTCAAAGCCCGGCCCCAGTGGTGTGCTGTCTTTAGCAAGGCCCCCACTTCCTGAAGTCTGAAGCATCCGCAAGCAGTACCACCCACGGAGAACCAAGGACCCAAAACACCAGCCAGTAGGGGAAATTTCTCGTGCAGACTCCCACTGATTAATAGTTTCCCATTTACTCAACTTAAAAATGAACAGGTGGGAAAATCAAATCATAATTATGTATACGGTGTGTCTTTGTGTGAAATGGCATTAGTTCTTCAGGGAGGAATGTTAGTGTACATGCCTCCCTAAGACACATGTGTTAACTTTATACCAAAAAGTCATTTTGAAGACACACCGTGAAGTATTCCCACTTCAGAAATAGGAGCTCTGTTGTCAGAGCCAAAGAACAGGGAGGCACAGCAGAGCTGTGAGGATCCGGCGTGCACTGCGTCTTAGGCGTTAGCGTGGACCCTGGGGTTTATGTGGAACATACTCTTCATGAGCTCTGGGTGCAGCCGAGCTGTGCAGGGTGGTAAGTGCTCGTGCTGTTGCTGCTCCTCCTCCCTCTCCTTCCCACTGGGAGGCAGTTGTCTTTCTCATCTGCTCCTGTCAGCTTTAAATACAGTTCTTAGCCGGGCGTTGGTGGCGCACGCCTTTAATCCCAGCACTCAGCCTTTAATCCCAGCACTCGGGAGGCAGAGGCAGGCGGATCTCTGTGAGTTCAAGACCAGCCTGGTCTACAAGAGCGAGTTCCAGGACAGCCTCCAAAGCCACAGAGAAACCCTGTCTTGAAAAAACAAAAACAAAACAAAACAAAACAAAAAAAACCAAAAATACAGTTCTTGCTCTGTGGTCTTGTGTAAATGTGGCTCAGACGTTTGCTGATTTTTGACAGATCAAAGAGACCAGTTCAGAGTCTGAAACGGAAAGGTGGGTGGACTACGTTAATGACAGGTGAGTAACAGGTTGGAACTTCTGGGGAGGATGTGAAGTTTTAGGTCTAATAAAACCAAAGCTATACATACAAACTTCACTGGAAAGGTGGTTGAGCTCACGCGTTTTCTGACAGTGCTACAGAGATTAAAGATGGCACTGTTATTAGCCACGGGCCTAGAGGAAGTTGTTGACTCTTTTTCTCCAGTGTGAAATTGGGACGTTGTCTTCTCACAAAAGTTTCCTAAGCGTTCCTTGTAATGTAGACAATGCATCTTGTCCCAGGCTTGGCACTCAGGAGTCCTCACTCACTTGTACCTGGGTGATTTATTTATTCATTCATCAGACATTTGTTAATTTTCTTCCGTATGCCTGGCACTTCATTTGTACCTAAATTATGGCTGAAATAATTAAGTTATTGAAAGTATAGACTGTGAAGAATGTGAGGCATTGGTAATTATGGGTTTTATATATTTTTGTAGCATTTGTCCACAATAAGTGTGTCCCGAGCATGATTTCTGTTTACAATATCTTAAATCTTTGCTTTCCAAGACCTCACAATGACATGAGATATCCAATGAAGTCTGAAAAGATCCACAGTTTAGGGTGGAAGCCCAAAGTGCCTTGGGAAGAAGGAATAAAGAAAACAGGTACGTAATAAATAGATCGTCTGAAGGGAAGGGAGGCAGTTCATTTCAGCACTCCAGGGATTTGCAGGCTGTGTGCAGACCCACTGCACCCCGGCTGCTCTGGTTTGTTTCTAGCAGCTGTTTGCTGAGCATCTTGAGTTTAATGGACCTAACTTCTCACTGCCCCTCCTGAATCTGCTCAGTTCAGCAGTTGCTTGCTTCGTTCTGACTCTCAGTGCCCAATTCTTCATTTCCTTGTGTTCTTGAAAGGCTGGTTTTGTGATCATTCATGCCTTCTAGTGCACCTTTCTTCCTTCTTAATGGTCTGTAAAGTGGTGTCCATGTTACCATCAGTGGGGTCTTAGCTTTGAAGAAAATTTCTGTAAATTTAAAATGTACAGAAAAGCTAGTAAAATAAGAAACTGTGTGTGTGTGGTGTGTGGTGTGTGTGGTGTGGTGTCTGTAGTGTGTGTGTGTGTGTGTGTGTGTGTGTGTGTGTGTGTGTTAAAGCTGTCGCAACCCTTTGTGGTGGCACACACCTTTAGTCTCAGCATTCAGGATCTAGAGGAAGGAGGATCTTTGAGTTTGAGGCTAGCCTGGTTTACATAACAACTTTCAGGCTTGCTAGGGCTGCATAATGAAACCCTGTCTCAAAAAACAGAACAAAACAGCAACAAAAACTATATTTGGAATTGTATTCTTAGGAAAGGATCTACTCAAAAATACAAAAAAGGACTTGTTTCAAAACTTTAAATACAAAATATTTTGTGCAAATATTAAAAACCAAAAGCAAATGTAGCTTCCATTCCTCTTTAGACTTGTGCTTCCCAGTGCAAAGCCCTGAGCTAATAGCTCACACTATAAACTCACCTCTCCTAGTCAATAGTGTGCACCATCGTCTCATGTTGCTAACCCTGTATTCTCCCTGTTTAGATGGATAGGTATTCTTTTTTTCTGTAAAATAGCTTTAAAGGTAGCATAAATGGCTTTCCCCACCTGAGATTTCTGAAATCCAAATGTCCTCAGCATTCCCTCAGGTCAGTGCTTCAGGGACTGCCCTTGCAGTGGACAGAACACAGTAGCTCATGCCATTTCCAGGGCTTTTCAGGAGACCAGTCCCTACTAGTCAGCTTAAAGGTGAGACTCAGGAAGCGAGTTTAATTGATGCGTATTTTTTACCTTTTCACTGTCTTTTGATTTTCCTACCAGTTGAGTGGTACCGAGAGAATTTCCACAACTGGAAGAATGCAGAAAAGGCATTAGAGCCCTTTCCTGTCCAGCCACCGTTTATATAGTCGCCAGTTGTAGAGAAGAGGACATTAGCCTACCTCAGCAGCGATGCGAACTCCAGTGCCTAAGTGAAGAGCCAGCTCTCACCCCAGTGTGAGGATGCTTCCAGGACTGGGTTCGGATGCAGAGTCTCCAGGAGTTCCAGCATTGGCCCAGGATTCCGTGTGGAGAGCCCCTCAGCAGCAGAAGTGCGGGATGTGGGCAGGATGAGGCCCTGGTCCTGAGAACCCAGGCAGAGCTGGCATTGGTGCACTCTGTCGGCTCTGCAGCACCTGACGGTCTCAGGTTTTATGTCCTGACTAATTTTTAGGTCTGATGATGTGAAAGTGGAACAAAATGGAAGCATATTGAACACTTTTTCATTTTGATAATTTTGGAAAATTAAGTTAGATGATTTTTAAAGGTAAGATGTAAATCTCACACATTTTTTAAATCAGTTAATTTATATAAAACCTGTTTCAGAAATTTTGTCATGTCTCTACTGTTTACAATGGTTTTATTTATAAAAGTGTCAATATATTTTAATATATTAAATACAGATTGTGGCTTTCTTATGATATATTTTTATTTTGTGGTATATTTTTTAAAATGATCATGCATTCGTTAATCTCTTTGCCCTCAAGTTTCCAAGGTGACTTAGAAAGTAACGGAGCTGATATTGGGTAGACACAGGTAGAGGTTGCTCTGTTGCGAATACAGATTCCTAGGCACTGACCAGTGAGAACCTGTCTCAGAGAGACAGGATCAGAGATGGCCCAGCGGTCATACCAGTCGCCACTTCACCTAACAACCCGGGCCTGATCCCCAGAACTGATCTCATGAGCTGGCGTCTTCTGACCTCCACACACACCATAACCTACATGCAACAGCCTCAAAACTAAACAAATGGAAGACAGTGCAGTGTCTGGACGCTCACAGCTGCAGTCCCTCTGTTTAAGAGCTGGGGCAGCCTGACTGCATTGTGAGATGTGCTTTGTAACAAAACTAACAAAAAAATGACTTATTTGACCCTCAGCTAGGAAGTATTTAATACTGTTATAGACAGCCTCCCCCATGTCGGGAGGTTCCTGTGTGTGCCTTTTCCCTCAGTTCCTCTCCTTTCCCTATCTGTAGAGAAAAGGGAGCTGGAATCCTAAAAGAGCAGGTGAGGAGCCAGAGTGATGCCAGTGCAGATGAGAGGGGACAGACAGTGGTGCTGGCTAGGGCTCTGTAGGCAGGAAGGCAGCCTCGGAGGAAAAGCAGTGTCACTCAGGCCAGCTTGCCACCGAGTAACAGATCTGCTTGAATAGCACTGTACTGGGAGCTCCGTGTTTGTGTCTGATCCTGAAGACTAGATGTTAACTACATGGGAAGTGAGGATCTGTGTTGTGTGTCCCAGGAGTAGGTTCCTTCTCTAATTTATGCCTCTTACACAAAGCTAAAAGCAAGTCATTTTGCCTTCTAGATTCAGCACCTCTCCCATAGTGCTTGCCTCCTAGTGAACATTAACGAAGATACCGGGGTCGGTATTCTGTCATTGAGGCACAGGTAGCTAGCTTTCTGCCCGTGACTTGAGTACGCCATTCCCAAGGCAAGACACTGTGCTAATACTGTCCTTTGATTCCCTTTGTATATTTTAATTACATTGATTTACTTTGTGGGGTGGGGTCTTGTATGCCATGGTGCATGTGTGGAGGTCAGAGGACAGCTGGAAATTTCCTGTCACGTGGGTCCTGGGGCTGAACTCAGGGCAGATTGAAGGCAAGTGCCTTAACCTAGTGGAGCCACTGCTCCCATCAGCTGCTGGATGAAGGCTATAGGATGGCATATAAGGTAGTCATCAATCTCATCATCAGAGACGGGCATTTAAGGAATAGGCCTCTCCACTATTGCTTAGATTGTTATTTGGTGTCATCCTTGTAGATCTCTGGACATTTCAATAGTGCAAGATAGGTTTTCTTTAAACCTATAATGGCTCCCTCTATTATGGTATCTCTTTTTCTTGCTCTCTTCTATCCTCCCCCCCCCCCGACTTAATCTTCCTGCTCCCTCATGTCCTCTCCCCTCCTGTTCTCCCCTTTTCTTTCTTCTAACTCCCTCTCCCCTCCCCCATGCTCCCCATTAGCTCAGGAGATCTTGTTCCTTTCCCCTTCTCCAGGGACCATGTCTGTCTGTCTTAGGATCCTCCTTGTTTCCTACACACAATTTTTAAAACCCAATGTGGGATTATCATGTGCACAGTATTTGGAGCTTGCTTCTTTTCCACCCACAGTATTTCATGGAATCTTCATTTCACTTTTGTATGATATGGGATCTTTTGCCATTTTTATTGACTGTAGAATTATGTTTGATAGCTTATTCCAGAGACAGTATGGAATGTGTTTAAGGATGACATAATTGGGTTCCCAAAGACACCCAGCTTAAAAAGCAGCTGCAGTAAATCAGCTGCTGATATGAAGGCCTCAAGTGTGCACACCCTGCAAATGGGTAGAGCCGATGACAGACTGGAGAACTTCCAGACTGAAAAATGTATGATGCGTGGAAAAGCTGTTGCTTGACTTGGGTGGCATTTTAAGGTGTTGAATGTTGGACTGGAATGCTGAGTTTAGGAGTCAGGTCTTTAACTCAAAAACAGTCACATATACAAACGTGAAGATCAAGTTGGTGGACTCAAGATCTGGAGAAACATATTTGGGGGCTAAATGGCTGTGAAAGCCTGAGAGTGGGATCTGGTGGTGATGGGACCTTTAAGAGCTAAGGCCCAGTAGAAGGTAATCAGATCAATGGATGCCACCTTTGGTAGGACTAATGTAACTTTCTCAGAAGCCTGGTAATTTCCCAGGAGAATGAATTGTTAGGAAACAATAAAGGGAACAACCCTGCCCCCACCTCTTTTATGGCTTCCTGTCTGTACTATGAGATCCATTCCACACACTCTTACCCATGGTTTTCAGATTTAGTGTGTGTGTGCGCGCGCGCATGCGCGCGTGCTTGAGGCATGCCACAGGTGTGGTTCTCTCCTCGGAAAGTTCCAGGAACTGAATTTGGGTCACCAGGCTTGGTGACAAGTTCTGTTACCTACTGAGCCATCTCACCAACTCCATACTTGTGTTTTGATGACATCTCTCATGAGGCCTGTGATGGAATAATCTTTTATTATTATGTGGATGTGTCTCTGCCAAGGAGCCTTCTAATTGGTTTATAAAGAGCTGGATGACCAAAAGCTAGTCCGGAGAGGATAGGCAGGACTTCAGAAAAGAGATAGGAACTCTGGGACACAGAGGCAATGGCACATGCAATATGGAGAAAAGGTAACAAACCACATGGCAAAATGTACCTTAGGATTAGGGTTTTAAGAGCTAGATAGGAATAAGCCTAAGTTAAGGTGGTAAAGCTGAACATGGAGTCATTGATCACAGATAGTTTATTAAGAAAGTACTCACACAATGGGGCCAGTGACCAGGGTTACACTGGATGCCTGCTTGTATGCTCAACCAGGCGGGAGAGGGAAAAAGAGGTCTATGTCTCGGATAATCAAACCCTTGCTACATGATTCTGACCACGCCCAAAAGGGCATGGTCAGCCTGTTACCTGTGTCCAGCCCCAAACAGGCATGATCAGCATTTCCCCCTACAAGGTCCAGCTTTCATATTTTATCTGGGAGCTGATGGTCCAAAGAAAGACCACTTACAAGGGCCTCACCAAAAGCCCAAATGATGAGGTCACCAGTCTTGGGTATTTAGACCTTTATATAAGTTATCTAACCATAGGTAGTCTATGTCATAGCAACAGAAAACAGACTAGTATGGCTTTACCTGCATATGTAGAGGTTCTATCTTTTTCATACCAACAAATTCATTTGCTTATAGTTTGTTCTTCCTGCTGGATTTGTAACCCCTGGCAGCAGAATCATCTCTGAATTCCTGGACCAGTATGTCACAGTGTCTTTTTTCTGAGAAATAGCTCCTGCCATCAAAGAGACAGTCTTTTCGACAGACCTTGCAACCAAGCTAATAATCTTCCCTGAGATCATCTAAAACTGTGTTCAGTCTGCTGTCAATTTGCCATGTACTTAGCCTGTTTAAGTTAAGCTGACTCTAAGAGAACAATGGGACCAATGTTACTGTGCCTTACTTTCCCCATGTGAAGGGCTGTTAGAATCTAAGCTAAGTACATAGCTTTAATCTTAAATTAAGTATTCTTCCATGTCACTGACCCAGGAAAGTGTATATATGTGTATTTTGATAATCATTTGCTGAAAGTAGCCAACAGATTGAAAACAACCTTAAAAAACAAATATCCCAAGATCTTCAGAATGGATAAGAAAAGAAAGGTTGTGTCCTAACAGTGATGTTTTCATGTCAAGTTGACAAGGGGTTGGTTTTATTCACTGGTTTTACGTGTGAACTAATCACAAAAGTTATTAAAAAGGAAGTAGCCATAGTAGAGAAAATGCCTCCATAACATGTAGTTATAAGACATTTCCTCCATTAGTGGTCAGTGGGGAGGGTCCAGCCCATGGCAGTAGTCCTAGGTTCTAAAGTGAAGCAGGTTGAGCAAGCCAGTAATCAGCTCTCCTCTATGGCCTTGACATTATCTCCTGCCTCCAGGTTCCAGCTCTGCTTGAATTTATATTGTAACTCACTCCAATGATGGACTATGATCTGGAAGTAGAGCCAAATAAATACCCCCCCCAAAAAAAAAAAATCCTGTAATGTCGGAAGCAGCATTTAGATGTAGGTTGGTAACCTCTGTGTGTTTTTGAGTGCTGTTCTGGGTTCAGTAAAGCAACTTCTTCCTTTGTAAAACTCAAAGATTTCTGTAGAAAACTCTTCATCCCTTCCCCACAGCACGTTTGCCACACAACATATGCAGACAGAGCAAAACCCTTTGTTACAGGCAGGCAACAGGGACATGAGGGTCAGAAAGCAGCCACTTTAGCTTTTCTTCCCCACTTAATAAAAATTTTCTCTGTGAAAACGGGTTTTTGGGTGTGGTTTGAGCCTAATCCGAGGTCCAGGCCGGAGCCCCTGCTGAGCTTGGGAACAGAGCATGGGGTACTGGTCACATCACATCTGCAGTCAAGAAATAGAGACAAATGCTGGCGGCTCTTCCTGGACTAATTAAACTTTCCTTGAGACACCTTCACACACATCCAAAGACATACTGATTTTATTATTTTTTTATGTTTAACACAATTTCTTTGAATCTTTGGAAGTTTCATATCATGCACCCCAATTCCCAGCACCTCCCAGTCCATCCCTCCCCCCCACCCCCCCTCAGTAGCCCCCAAATGAATATTTAAAACAAAAATGAAAACCAGACTAACAACATATTGACTCCTTATCAGGTTGACAGTTGAGATTATAACGTACCATGTTCTAATTGACACACTTAAAATAACTGTTTACAGTGGTGTAAAATACTGTTTTATCAATGTGACATCTCTATTCTAAATTCAGAACCTGGGAAGGCCCTGTCATCATTTCCCTTTGGTTAAGTCAGTGTTCAGAAGTCAAAGAAGCTATTCTAGATCTCATGTGTTCCCTTGGACCCCCGAAACCCCCTCCCTATT